TATCATCCTCTTTACCGCAGTTTTTAATTCCGCAGTTGTTACCGTGAAGTCCTCCTGCCAGGATTTAAATCCTTCTTCAGGTAGTGCCGGCTCTATCCACGTTTCCACCAATTGTGTGGGAGCCGGGAAGAGGCCGTCGATTACTCTGTTCCGTGTTGATTCTTCTAATGACTCAGTATATGGGGGAGTCCACCTTCTCAATTTTCCCATTACTGTGAGATATGGGCGGCCCCATGGGTTTTCGTTAATAGTATTGACGAAATCCGTCCATGCTACTGCCTTGGCTTTTCTAAGTGCCTTACTAAGTTTCTTTCTGGCCTCTTTATATTTACTTATTTTATCCTGTGTCTCTGCTGAGTCTTCTGAGTGCCCGTTTCTGCGGGCTCTTTTAATCTTTCTTCGAGCCCTGGTGGAAGTCTCTCGCAATTGCGCGAGTTCCTCGTTCCACCAGGGCATCGCTTTTCGTAATTTAGGCATGGATTTTGGCATCGCTATCTCACATGCGTCCGTCATCATTTCCTGTAATTTGGTCGCCTTTGTTTCTGGGTCCTGTGCCTGTTGGTTTCCGTTGATCCAGTTACCAATTATTATTCCTGATTTGAGCATATCTTCATTTAATTTTTTGATTGCCCATCTTTTGTGGTTCGATCTTTTTTCCTTGGAAATCTGCGCGCTTGTTTTACCGATCGTCGTCTCGATATATCTATGATCTGATGAGCTTTCTATCAGAGAAACCTTCCATTCAGTTACTCGCGCTGCTGCTGTTTGATTCGCGAATGTAAGGTCCACGATAGACTCTCCTTTGCCGTGTATGCATGTGCTTATTCCACCGTGGTTCAAGCAGACCAGACCTTGTTCGCTTGCCCATTTTGCTACTAGGGTTCCTCTAGGATTTGTTGTTAGTGACTGCCACATTTTATTCTTAGCATTAAAATCTCCTCCAATTATTATGGCCTTATTGTTGTGGAAATTAATGCATCTCTCAATTTCTTTCAGTGACCTTTCCACTTCAGCCATACCTATATTGGGTGACAGGTATACTCCTATCGTGATTATATCTCCCCACTTGATC